GTGTATAAAGAGCGCACAAACATTAGGCATGCGAGGTTAAACCAATTTAGAGATGAGAACCAGACAAAACACATAGCAGATAACCTTAGAAGAAATATTCAGAAACCTCAAAAGAAACCAAGAATCCTGACATGCAAGTTCTAGAATGTCATAAAAGGTCACAGAGATATGCAGACATGCACAAACAGAAACAAGAGAAAACTACGAGCGTTAAGACAAAGGTAGGCAAGAACATGATCAGCGGAACTTTAGAAATAAAATTAAAGCAAGAGCCTGAACACATATAGCAAAAAGTAAGTCAACAACCTAGGCTAGCATGTGAACACAGAATGTAAAAGAATCTCTGTAGAAATCCGGTAAGAAACAGGAGAACAGCCTCGAACATAATAGGAAATAAAACAACGAGCATAAACACACACAAGGGAGAGTAAAAGAATCAGAAAACATTTTAGGAGCCATTTTCAGAAAACCCTAAAATTGATTTGAACAGTTTTGAAAAGGGAAATTTGGGGAAAAACTCTAAAATGTTACCAACAGCGTAGATCTAGCACAGATCTAAAAGAATAAACGAAAAGGAACCTCGAATAGGCTAGGGCTTCTGAGAATCCTAAAGGACGAGAAAGGCTTGGAAGTCACGAGAACGGATCTGAGTTGATAAGGTCGAATCCAGGCTCATGAGGCCAAGATACGCCGGAGCAAGGTCGGAAACGGCCAAAGAATCTCGAATCGACCAAGGTCTGGATGAAGACCCTTGAGGTCTAGCCTCGAATCTTCAGTGAGCAGGCGTGTGGGAGTAGTAGGTGGTGAGTAGAGGTCGTCCATGGTTAGATTAGCCATGGATTCCGGTGATTTGAGATCGAAGAGGGGGTAGGCGGCTATTAGGGTTTCAGGTGGGTGAGAGCGTTTGAGAGAGACGAGGGATTAGAGACGGCGGTCTTTGAGAAAATGGGGAGGGTTTGGGGGGTCGTTTAGAATTAAAAATGGTAAGGGGGAGCCTGGGCCGTTGATCAAAATGATCAATGGCTCAGATTAAAAGGGACACGGGCCGGTTCGGGTGATTGGGTGTTGGGTCGGGTGGATTAGGAAATTGGTTTGGATTCAATTTGGGGCTGAGATTGGGGCCCGATTCCGGTTAAAATTGAAATGCAAAAAGGGCTAACTTTTAGATAGCCACTTTTCCCTTGTTTAATTTATAAAAAATAGCAAAATAATTTCTGGAAGTAAATCAAACGTGGTAAAATGATTAATAATACATAATTATCAAATTAAAAGTACTGGGGTCAATTTTATAAATATAATTACAATTAAATCTTAAAAGAGGCTAATATTGCAATTATGTGAAATTTAATTTTAAAAAAAATACTAAATAAATTTGTAAAAAATATGCAAAAATCATGTTAGCCATATTTTGGTGTAAATATGAGAATAAAAAATAGGTTATCCACCAAAATGATAACTTTGGGAATAATTATTGGATTTTATGGTATAAAAATAGGCAATAAATTGGTTTTAAAAATCATTAAAAATTTGATAAAGTACCAAAACCCTTGTGTGTGCTCATATATGCACATATATGTTATTTTGAAAGTATTTTGGGTATAAAAAATATTTAGGGAAAAATTGGGTATCAACAACCTCGAAACCTGGTAAGATTCCAATGACTTCTCGCCTTTATCATCTTCATCTGGAAATGGAGAAGGCATCGATTCCTGTAATTTCTATTTGTTGGGTTCTTTTACCTTGCTGCTGGAAATGGTCACCGCGTTCATCTCCCTTACCGCCAGTTGGTCTACTCTTGTCTTCTTGATCCCTTATAGCATCAAAAATTTTAGCAGTTGGTGATATGTCGAGGGAACAACCTTTATCTTGTATATCCATGGACTTCCGAGGATCACGTTATAGCCCATGTCTCCATCTACTACTTGGAACATGGTGGTCTTCGTTAGACCTTCGGTGTGAGTGGGTAGCAAAATCTCTCCTCGGGTTGTCACACTTATCAGGTTCAAGCCATCTAGGGGATTGTTGACAGAGATGTTCCCGATTAATTTTGCTTGTTCCAGAACTTGCCATTTGTATGATATTGGCTGAACATCCTTGATCAACCAAAACACGCTTAATTTTGAAATCTAAGACATTAAGTGAAATTACCAGCGCATCATTGTACTGTAGGAGAAGTATGTCAGCATTTTTTTCCATGAGGGTGATATAGTCTTCCGAGACTTTATGAACCCTATTGCCATGAGTCACTGATATTTTTGTCTTTTTTGCCACCAATAATGTCACCCCATTGACCTTGCTCCCTCTGAAGATCATGTTGATTGTCATCTAAGGTGACCTCGCTGCTGTCGTTGAGGTCTCCGCATTGTTCTGGCTCCGACCATAATTGTTTTTGGTACAGTCACTTAGAAACTCTCTAAGATGGCCATTATTAACAACATCGCCACCTCCATGCGAAGATGTCGGAAGTCCCCAGTTTTATGGTCGTGAGTCCCATGGAATTTACACCATAAACTGGGATCTCTCTAGCTAGGATCCGATCGGATTGGTTTCATCAACCGGGCTTCTTTGATATTTCTCATTGCCGACACTAATTCTAGCAGGCTAATGTTAAAGTTGTAATATGACAATCAAGGATATGCGGCATCTCGGGCACCTGCCATCTCTTCTCCTACAGCAACCTATTGCTTCGTCTACGATTCTCCCTTCTATCGGAAGCAAACCTATCCGATGACTTAAATCCTTTACTGCTATGCCCATCGATCCTTTCGTACGGTAGAAAACGACCCTTAGAGGACCTCCGATCTGCATCAAAGTCACTTTTAAACTTATCCTGATTTTTATATGTCGACCACGTCCCTTGGTTGATACCGATGATCCAAGTTGATCATCTTCTATCCTTATTTTTGACTCATAGCAATTATGGACATCCGCCCATATGGTTTCCTGGAACTTGAGAAATCTCTCCTTCAATTTTAGGGAGGCATCATAACTTAGTGGATTCAGACCCTTCGTGAATGCCTCCGCTGCCCACTCATCTAGAACCATTGGCAGCAACATCCTTTCTTTCTGGAACCAGATTACGGATTCCCACAACATCTCAGATTCTCCTTGCAAAATTATGAATATGTCCGCCTTTCTGGCCTGAACCTTTCTTGCTCTAGCATGGGCCTTAATGAACGATTCTGCAAGCATTTCACGAATCTGCAAGCATTTCAAATATATTGATTGAATGCTCAGGTAAGTGGGAGTACCATGTCAGGGTTCCCTTCATAAGGGTTTCGCCAAACTTCTTCAACAAAACTGACTCGATCTCATGTTGAGCCAAATCGTTTCCTTTACTGACGTGGTTTAGGTTGTGATGTAGTCATGCGGATCCGAAGTCCCATCATAATTTGGTATGTCTCACATCTTGAATCTCTTTGGAGTTCACTCTGGTGCTGCACTTGGCTTAAACGGCAACTGCATGTACTTTTTGGAATCTGGACCCTTTAATACCGGCGGCGTACCCAAAATCTTATCTATCCGAGCGTGAAACTCATTTGCATTCTAATCCATTCATTCATTCATCTCTCTCATGAATCTCATGAGCTCAATTTTAAAAGGATAACTCAAGTTATTGTTCCAAAATCCACTACCGGTACCCCCGGCTTCTTCGAAACCGACCCCATCCCTTGGACTATTATTATCAGTCCTTTGTGCCGTCTGGTTCGCGGGAGCATTGGGATGAACTGGGGCCCTTCCATTAGCGTTGTTGGAAGCACCTGATAACTCCCGCTTCAACTTTGTCATCACACGATCTTCCCTTGAGAGGTGGTCCATGATTGTTCATTGTTGTTATCTGAAGAGTTTAACCTTTTCCAGTACATGTCCGTCCTCCGCATCATCAGGAGTTGGGTCCCGCATATATCGAGGGTATTGCCCTTCGCGAAGGGGCTGTCTCATCCCCTTCTTCGCGGGTTTCGCTGATGGAACGCTGAGACACCTCTTCCCGTTCATCATGTGCTCCAACGTTGTGAACGTTGTTGACATCATTGGTTGCCATATCTGACTTTTACTTAAGAAAAAACTGAAATTCGTTAGTAACAAACGAATGGATCAAAGCAACTACGCAGCTGTCTATGCCTCACGGTGGGCGCCAAACTGTTTACCCGTAAAAAAGTACAGTTAAATTTATAGCGTCGTTTATAGACAAGCGAATCGATTTGATTCGAAAATGATAAAGAAATGAGAATAAAAATAAGATCGACAATTAAAATTAAAGAAAATAGCATGTATGATATTGAGCTCGGTCTTTCCTATAGCAAAAGCAGAAGCAATGATAAAACTGGTTAGATTGAGCATAAAATAATATAATAAAACTTTGTGTGCAGAATGTTTCATATGCTACAAGGGTTTTCAATCCTGCTATTTATAGCTATCCTTGGGGAGACAAGATTTTAAAATCAAGCTCCTCTTGAATGAGAATAAAATCGCCATAGATGGATTCATAACCACTGGTCTTTGAATGCAGATATTCACTGTAACGACTACTCGTTAAATGTTATCTGATGTTGAGCCTTTGAATCTTTACCATCGGTCGTGCTCCTTCTGGATCCATCCTGTACCAGTTAGCGGTTACATACTTCGCACCCGATGCCAGTTATTTGCTAACTCATCTTTTATCTATCTTCGGTTTCACGTGTCACTTTTTCATTCAACCACCTGTTATCAACTAGTTTCACACCATACAAGGACATAAATGATATTTTAGTTCGTTTGTCCAAATTTAGTTTGTCCATACAAAATTTGGCTGCTTAGCCGTTACCCGTCTACATAAGTGCAAAGGAACGAGATCTAACACAACTAACAAAAAACGCGAGAGAAATTTGACATATTTATTGGTTGGTATCATGAACTATTGGGGCATCAAAGTGTCGTGGGAAAAAACTTTCTGATCGAACTCGAGTTCAATAAATCGGCGTGGTTACTGGAACAAGAAATAATTGCACACGTAAGGACAATTAAGCAAAAGCCAACGCAATTATTATTGGGCCCATCGGCATGTTCTCTTTGGACTTGAATGAAAACCAATAATCCATTTAAAGAACATATGCCGCACACATACATTCCCCTACTTAAATAACTTATAAATACATAGAGATATAAAACAAAAGACAAAAAGGAAACAAAGGAAAATGGGCAGAATGAGGCGTTTGATCACCATGATTGCAACGGCCATGAAACGATAAACTTGAGCGATATGTGGTCAAAATGACTCAAAAGAAACTTCACTTGGACTTAAATGGAATTGCCCTGATAACAACTTGGTGATATAGAGCCGCTAGAGCCGCCCCAATGAATGGTCCAACCCAGAATATCCACTGCACCAACCACAGTTAATCACATGTTAGAAAAATTTTCTTTACTCTATTTGGTTCTCAGTTAGAGTCTAACTTTTTCACTAGATGGTCAAAAATTTTACACGACGAGATCACCCAAGAAAACACGAGTACTTGTCCATAATAAATAGTAGGCAGTTAACATAATAACAAGTTGAAATACATTATTAGTGTAAAAAAATAAGAATAGTGTTTATTTTATTTTCAAGCTAGCACTTACTATTTCATAAAGTTTTTCTGGGAATCATAATGGTAAAAAGAAAAGCAAAGGTGAAGAGGTAGCTATAATTACGTGGTCATTCCATGCGTGTTCCTTGTTGTAGATGATAGCTGCACCAAGACTCCTAGCTGGGTTAATACCAGTTCCAGTGATGGGAATTGTAGCCAAGTGCACTAGGAACACCGCAAATCCAATAGGCAACGGTGCCAAGATCTGTATTACACAAATCCAGCTAAAAAATCAATTTCAATAATTAATACAAAGGAGAAAAAGGGATATTTAGTAGCAGTAGTTACCGGAACATGGGAGTCTCTGGCGCTACGTTTGGCATCAGTGGCAGAGAAAACAGTGTAGACAAGAACAAAGGTGCCTATTATTTCAGCACCTAGGCCATCCCCCTTGGTGTAACCAGGATTTACAACATTAGCACCACCACCTTTAGTTTGGTAAAGAGTCTTCCCGAACCCTTTTACAACACCAGCACCACATATGGCTCCGAGGCACTGCATTACCATGTAGAACAATGCCCTTGTCAACGACAATTTCCTTGCTAAGAACAACCCAAATGTCACTGCCGGGTTTATGTGTCCCCCTGCACAACAATAGTAATCAAATGTTTAATTCAACATACTCTGGGGCGGATTTAGGGGGTGGAAGGGGTTCACCCGAACCCCCTTCAAGGGGGTTCAAATATTTATAAGATCATAGGTTCAATTCCCACTAGCTAAAAATTTTTTTTGAACCCCCTTTGTGGATATCCTGCCTCCGCCACTGAACATACTCATACCAATGGATCTAAAAATTTCAGTTGTTTCATGAGGAAGTAATAGGTACCTGAAATTCCTGCAGTGCAGTAAACTAGGGCGAAAATCATGCCGCCAAAAGCCCAAGCAATGCCTTGAATTCCAACAGTTGAACATTTGGATTCGGATTTGGACACTCCCATGACAGTTAAAACAGTGATATAAAGAAAGAGAAAAGTGGCCATGAACTCTGCAATTCCAGCACGATAGAAGGACCAGGACATCAACTCCCCTGGCTCAAACAGGGGCGCTGGTGGTGGCTCCTTGTAATCCTTGTCTTGACTCTGTGCCGCCGTGCCAATCGCTTGCCTCTCTGAATATTTATTAGCTCCCACTCTAACATCCTCTTCTCTGTGCTCCATTTCTCTAACAATAAGTGTTGATTCCTAAGTAAGAATTGATGGAAGTAATTGAAGTAGTGAAGGAGGTTTATATATGTAGTGTTGGGTGGGCTAAAGGGGCCCCAGGGATGTGCATAAATGGTTTAAGTTTCATTATCATTGTGACCGACCATTAATAATTCAGCAATTAGGATCATTGGTTTTTGAGGAAAGGGTTTGCTGCTGATGAAAATGCGTTGTCTTGTAAACTTATTATGGAAAGAGACGTTGAATTTAGGATTTGGCAGTGTTTGTGTTAGTTTTAGTTTTGCATTGCTAAATCCTAGCTGGCACAAGGATGTCCATATGATATACATTATTGTATGTTCATTTGATAATGGACCATTCGACCACCGCCCATTTTGATTATTCTGTGGTAGAAATTGGACTATTTGGAAAATGGAAATACTGCTATCGCAATTTCTGTTGCTCTTGCGGCCAAACTTACTAGACCTAGAGTTCTTTCGGTGAGTACGACTTGATCGGTTACCTCTTACCACCCATTTATTTGTGAATTTAAGTTATTTATATTACAAATATATAGTAGTAATATTTTTTACACTATCAATACAGGTTAACATATATAATAAGAGTAGGTTTGTCAAGTCACCAATTAATATTATTTATCATAAAAATTTATATATAACTATTTTATAAGTAATTTGATTGTGTAAATATCTAATCTTACCGGTACATCAAACTCGAACTTTTTATTTATAGCTTGATATTTTGTGTATTTGTGTTATATACGATCACCAATAGCATCATTAAGTTAGTTTATATGTGTGTGACAAAAGAATCGACGAACGCGTGCAAGACTAAATTCTGCATCCTTTTTCTGGTATAAATTTATTTTTTAGATTGAAACCGATCGACTGGTTTATAGATCGGCTATCACTCAAAATTAAGAAGTGTATCATCATCGCTGTTGTCTTCGTATAAAAGGAGCAAAATCTTCAATTCCTGCAGAGATTACTACACCTAGTTTGACTGAGCTCTTGGACAAAACTCTGTAAGATTTTTCATAACTATTTTTTCATTTCTCCTAATTTCATTGACCAGTTTTATTAATGTTGTAGTTTTTCTGGTACTGGAAAGTCTAATACTATTTCAGTTTTACAGGTACCTTCTTTCTTTTTACTGTCGGTAGCTTGGAGTACCTTTTCTGAATAGTAAGATCACGTTTTGTTTGTATGCAAATTGCAATTAACCTCGAGGAACACATACACAAGGCCAAATTTCACTGTATTTAGGCCCCGTTTGGCCATACATTTTGGCACCATTTTTTCAAATCTTTTTTGAAAATATTGTTTGTTCATAGGTTAATGATCTATTTTTGAAAAAATTTTAAAATTATTTTTTAAGTTCCCAAAATCTAGTTTAGGGTAGATTTTGGGTGAAACTTGTTCTCCCACTCACAAAACTTCAAATTTTTTTCAAATAAAATGCATGTCCAAACATAATTTCAACTTCCAAAAATTATTTTTCAAGTTTCAACTAAATCTATGTCCAAACGCTAGCTTAGTCCAAGATATATTGGGAAATCGGAACCCTGTGGAAATTGGAAACAAATCATCTAGCACGATGTCGGTAGAAAATTATGTCAATCAAAATTATTTAATTGCCAAATTAACAAAATAAACGAGTTGTCCTTGAAAGTTGCTTATGAATAATAAAACTTACATAAAAACAGTAAAAGTATGTCCTACACAACTTCTCTTTGTAGTGATGTCCTAATAGTGAAAGTCGGAAGTTTTAGTTTTGATTAACTTTGTTTTGATATGAAATTATAGAAAACAAAAATTAATTCACGTAGGTGACTATCAAATCAGATATACATAATGTAGCATACTATTGGGCTAAACTAGCCCAAAGACACTCTTAACGTGGTATTGTCCACTTTGGGTCAAGCCCACACGATTTTCCCCAAAAGGCCTCATACCATTAAGAGATGTAAAAATAGCATAGAGACCGGTCCAGCATAATATACTGGAGTTCGGTGCACTTGTGTATGAACTCCAGCATATTATGCTGGACCGGTATACTTTGCTGGCTCCAGTATAATATACTGGAGACTGGAGCACCGGTGCTTCAAACACTCCAGTATATTATACTGGACCAATATACTTGCTGGAACTCCAGTATATTATGCTGGAGTTCTAGTGTACTTATGTTGGAACTCCATCATATTATGCTGGAGTTCCAGCGTACTTATTTTGGAACTCCAGTATAATATGCTGGAGTTCAAGTATACTTATGCTGGAACTCCAGCATAATATACTGGAGTATATTCCGGGTTTTGAACAGTGTTTTCGCTCTTATTTATCTTAATATAAATAGTGGCTAAATTTCGATTACTTTTGAAATTGGGCTATTTTTGAACGACCAGTTGTAAATCTGGCTATTTTTAAAATTTACCCTTAGGAGATCCCTACACCTTATATGTAAACTCCCAATCTTTTCGGCTACCAACGTGAGACTTTATTCACAACCCACCACATACTAATAGTTGTAATTTACTTACATATTTTGAAATAAAATAACCACTCAAGGATGTCGTATGGTCGTCACATAATCCATTCTTTACTTCCACGGTATCTTCATACAATTAGATGCTAATGTGTCACTGACCACGTCAGTCTCTAGTTCTAAAAAGGATAAGCGGTTGCTACAAATATAATTTGGTCTAAGATTTCGGAGTCAAATCCCACAGAAAATTAAGGCTTAGCTACAAGTGTTCAATATCGTGAAGAAATACAAGTTCCAATAATTTCTTATTTATAAAGATTGTAATTTATATTTTAAATATTTAACTAACAAATAGTAAAAAGTAGTAAAATTATCAACTAACAAGGATGAAATTGGAGACAAGATTAAGGAAGACTAGAGTTCTGATTTCTCTATTATCGGAATCCTTCTGTTATGTCTCCTATAATTTTGCTGAAGTACTCTCTGCTGATCGTAAACACTTCATGTGTCGTAATTTTATTTTGAGAAACTACAACAATTTATGACATATTCTCGCGAACTACGTTAGCTAATATTATATATCTTACCATTCACTATGACCACATCAAGGCTTTGTTGTTCTTAAACCCATCTTTAAACCCGGCGTATTAATTCCTCATATACGTTAGGAGTGACGTTGTTCAACAATCACCTAAATATGTATTCTTTCCCAAGTAAGCCACAGTCAATCAATGCCCATTTCAATCGACTGAAATAAGTACATATACGTATACCGTTTTGGAGATGTCTATTCAATGTATTGCAAGTGTCTTGGATGACAGTACGGAAATGAGATTCTCAGCCTTATTTTACCCATGTTGTGGACTTAAGTTTGTGAGCACGTGATTTTTGCCCTAAGCAATAATTCCCAAAATTTCAAACAAAATAATTTCTTTAGTATTTTGTATTTTTTCGTGAATTTGGTGGCATTTTTTGGTAATTGTTGCATTTTTATTCGTGCATCTTAATTCATATGAAAATACAAAAATATGTATTTTTTTTGCATTTAGGATTTAATTTCACAATTTTAGTATTAATTAGGTATTAATTAGTTTAGAACAAAATTTAAAAGAAAATTGCAAAAAATAGTTTCTTTGCACTTTTAATTGTTAATTGTTGCACTTATCTTTAAATAAAGTTTTAAATAATTTTAGGAGTTAAATAGTTTAACTAGGTCTTTGTTTTGTTTTAGCATTTTATAAAATCAGAAAAAATATAAAATACAAAAATGAAAGCAAAACAAAAATGAAAAAGGGAGACAATTAAAATAAAAGAAAGTGGGGCTTGATAAAAAGACCAAAACTGGGCCAAAACTGGCTTAGCCCAAATTAAATAAACCCCTGAAACCCGCCTGGCCCATACCCATTCCCTAACCCGGCCTGCCCCCGTCCCAAAACGACGTCGTTTCGGCCTGTTAAATCTGGACCGTCGAGGTTACCAGATCTAACGATCGAGAAGCCTACGTCCATAATTATATAACTGTCCTAACGATACCCTCCCCCCCCCCCTTTCAGACCCCCCTGCCTCTCATCTCTCACACTCCAGAGAACCCATCGTCGCCCACCGTAACACCACCGTCTACCACCGTCCCTCCGCCGTCCGCCGCCGGCCGGAAATCGCTCACGGCGGCGGCCGACCTCCGTTCCCGTCCAAATTAACACCCTTAAATCCTTTTCTCCTCCTCTTTCTATATTTGGCCTTAGATTCACCCAAATCACAGTTGAGTTGCTCGAATATTGGATCGAAAACCTCCGGCCAAAATGCAAAGTCATCCAAACCCAATCAAATGAACACCCTAGGACCGCCCTGTTCTCCTCTTTCAAACCCCCCAAACCCCGTCCCTCGAATCAACGCCGAACCCTTCAAATAACGGTTTAAAGTTTTCCGGCCATGACATCAGTTGTCCCAAATTAACCCAAATTCATACCACAGAACCGCCCAAGCCTCCTCTACCCAAACCCCATAGCCACTTGTCTCAAATCTGCCCGGAACATTACAAATTCTAAATCTCAAATTTCACGTGTTTTCTTTTGAAAACACACGATTAGGGATGTTACGTGTCAAGAATCCCGGAGGATTCAAACGACAATGGTTGGCCAGAGTTCGTTCCATGGTCAGTAAGCCTGCTTGTTCTTTTCTTTGCTGATTTTGACTTGTTTGTTTAGCTTTAATTAGGGTTTGTTTTTCTTTCCTGCATGATACTTAAATTAGGGCTATAGGGTTTCAATTTAACTGTTGTTTGGACAAATATATTTTGATTCTGGTTAGCTTTCGATTATGTTAATTGTTACCTGTTGTTCAAAATTCTGACAGATTAGTTTCATGATTAGCTGCAATGAATTTATGGTTTTAATTTTGTTGTTAGTTTAGATCATTTGAATTTCCATAATTGGTATTAGCTAGGGTTAATTAGTTCAATTGGAAATTGGTTAATTAGGGCTTTTCTTTAAATTACTGTTTAAGCCTTAACAAATTTAGGTTTCAGGATAAATTGGTTAAGTGTAATTAAAACATGTTGGTAATTCTAGGAGAGGTTTGAGGGTGTTTTAGGGATTGAAAATGGCATGTTTTGCCAAATTGGTAATTTTAGAACCAAGG